TGTCGTGGGACCTCTCAAATCGAGAGTATATACCTGGCTTCGTCGGCATGAACAACATCAAAGCGAACGACTACTTCAACGTTGTCGTGCAAGCTCTCTCCCACGTGGTCCCCTTGCGGAATTATTTCATGTTGGAAGACCTGTCGAGTCGGCCGCAGCTCGCGCAGCGCTTCAGCACGCTTGTCCGCAAGATCTGGAACCCGCGGGCGTTCAAGACCCACGTCTCGCCCCACGAACTGCTCCAAGAGATTGCGTTGCGGTCCTCAAAACGGTACACGCTCTCTGATCAGTCTGACCCCGTCGACTTCCTCTCGTGGTTTCTCAACAACCTCCATCTGGCCGTTGGCGGCTCGCGAACAAAACCCAACAGCAGCATAATCCAGAAGGTATTTCAAGGCACGCTGAAGATCGAGCAGCAAGAAATCACCGCTCGTGCAGATGCCGGCGACCGTCTCCGTTTTGAGGATGCAGCCGTGCAGACCGAGATATCGCGCTTCCTCGTGCTAACCCTCGACCTGCCCGCAGCCCCTCTCTTCCAAGACGCACTCGAGAAGAACATCATCCCGCAAGTCCCCCTCGTCAACATCCTCTCAAAATACAACGGTGTCACGCCGCAAGAAAAGTCCAAGAACCGGGTTCGCTACCGCCTCCTCCACCCCTTACCGCCGTACCTCCTCTTCAACATCAAGCGCTTCTCCAAGAACAAGTTCGTCTCGGAGCGCAACCCAACTATCGTCACCTTTCCCGTTCACTCCCTCGACATGTCGCCCTACGTCGAGCCGAACCCCAAAGAATACCCACCCGGCGAGCCCATCTGGTATGATCTCGTAGCCAACATCACCCATGAGGCTGTCAAGAAGAAGGACGACAGTGTCGAGGGTGAGCAAGAGAGCAAGGTGTGGAGAGTGCAGGTCAAAGACCGAGCGAGAGAGGAGTGGTACGGCATTCAAGATTTGTACGTCGAGAAGGAGAGGGGTGAGACGCTGTTTACCAAGGAAGCATACCTAATGGTCTGGGAGAGGAGAAGAGGGCAGAAACCAAAGGCAAGGTAGCAAGGAAGAAGTAGAGCTTTGTATGAGTAGTTTCCGGTGGGGTGTTTGATTTGATGTCTGCCGGGTGCTTGGGAATATACCAAAGGCAATCGATGTGCTTGCTTGGATGTCCTTTATGATCATCCCCCAACCGCTATTGCTCTCCATTGTGTCTCTCGTATAATGCTCTCAATACCGCCTGATGTCTTTCCTAACTTCGCTTCGATTCGAGTGATTCCGCTTCCTGGCTCACTCTCACTCTCCAATAGTTCACATGTAGAAGAGAGCGGTTTCGAGTCAGACCTGGCGACTTGCTCCACACTGGCTCGATAAGAAGACAACAGGTGAAGAGCTGGGCAGCTTAATCAACACTTGGTAATACATCAGCCCACACATGTGACGTTGCCAGGTGCTGTCTATAGCAAGGATTACGAATGCTCACCTCACATTTCAAGCTCAATAGCAGAAATAAACAAGATGGAAGGAGAAGGCAATTTTCGGCTGTTGCTATTCATACCTACACATGGCTCCGGCGCTAATCCACCCTCCTACATCCATGCCTCCACCTAAGTACCCCAAAAAGGCACACCCTCTACCACATAATCCCCTTCCACTCAAACGTGCCATCAATATTCCGCCACTTCTCCTCCACAATCGCACTCTTCCACCCCATCATGATAGCCAACAGCCTACAGCTCGTACTACTGACCGTGCATACCACCGTGTCCGCCTTGCCCAGTACACTCAAATCCAGCAAATAAGCGCGCCCAACCAGTTCGCGCAGTTTCATAGCGCCATCAGGCACATCGACGCTTTCGTCGTTGACCTTCTTCATGTCCTCCGCGTTGCCCACGGGCTGGCCCAGAGAGAAGAAGACGTCGCGGTAGAATCCGCCTTCCCAGCCCGTAATCTCGTCGATCCACGTGTTCTTCTTGGGCTGCGATTGTGCGGCTTCGAGAGCGGCCTTGGTGGCGAGCACGATGCGGTCTTGGGCTCGGATGCTGTTGGGACCTAGTTCGGGAGAGTCGTAGACCAGCGGGTCGTCCGAGGCTAGTATCATCTTGGAAGTTGTGTGGCGGGGGACGAGAGGGTCGGTGGAGGACGAAAAGGGGGAGGAGAGCAGGCTGCGCTGGGCTTTCTTCTTGAGACCGCCCTCTACCATGTCAATGTAGAGGTCGCGCGCTGTGTCCACGTAGCGCGCTAGTGGGATGTAGTCTTTCTGGTATTGGTATTCCATGGGGTGCTTGTCGCCGTGTCGGACGTGCATGGCGATGCTGAGGCCGCCTTCGCTCTTGACTTCGCCGTACATTTCTAGTGCCCGTTGCAGGACGTAGGTCTCGTCGTCTGAGCGAAGTCTGAAGAGTGCTTCGTAGCCAGTCCTAGCCAGGCCGAAGATCTTTGACTGCCGTTGGACGCGCATCTTTGTTGCGTCTTCCCACTCGTCTGTGAAAGAGTGGCCGAATGTGGACTTGAGCGTCGCCCCACTGACGACGATGTGGCGGGCGGTGTGTGGGCATGGTACGATGTGGGATGGAGGAGGCGGGAGGCAGTTCGCAGAGGGCGGAGGCTGGAAGTAGGACGAGTATTTGCCATAGGGCCTGGGAGTGTCAGTGTCGAGTAGCAGCGGTACACGAACGAACATACCAACGCGTGTCATCGATGAAAAAGGCGCGCTTCTCAGCTTTGGCCAGACCGTACGACATCCACATGCGCATCAGCGTGTTGCCAAAGCCTGCATCCTCCGTCTCCATAGCATAGGTCAAGGTCCTGTCACAGACCTTGAGTCCTGCTGTAGAGATGCCATCCTTGATAGCCTCATCTTCCACAAAGCCCTTTGGCCTTCCTGCAGCCTTGGATGGTGGCAACAAGCCTTGTTGTTCCGCTTCTTGGACGTCGATGTAATACTGATCCTGCTGGTAATAGTTCAGCATCCTCTTCGCGAACCCGGACGAAGCATGCGCCTCCTGCCTCAGACCCTTTGAGACTTCCATGGACTGGTGGCAGATGTCGCGGTACTGTGCCGGTCGGAGCGGGAACTCATAGTCGGACGGTATCGACACGGTCCACCTCATCTTTCCCTTCGCATCCTGGAGGGCGAGAGCAACTGGCTCGTGGGGCAACTGACTGCCACCAACCATCTCCCATTCTTCCTCGTTGCCATCCTCGTAAGCAGCCGCTCCTTGTGAGTGTGCGTATATCTGCCTCAGCACAATCCACAGTAGAAATGCTACTCCACAGCACCCTATGAGTATCCGCTTTACCAATCTTGAATGACTCGGCTGGGTCGTCTTCTTGCCGTGTTTCGGTAGCAGGCTCGGAAGGCTTGGACTCGGCGGCGGGGATCTCGCAAGCAGACCACGTCTCGAAGGGACCGTGGGAGAGAGGAACGCACTCGAGGTGGCAGACTGGGGCGGCGGGCTTAGTTGTGAGTAGTGAGCTGTCGACTGTATGGACAGATTCGGATTCCGTCTAACATGCATCTTGGACAGCTTCTTCGCAGCCTGGTTGAGCATGTCGGTTGCCGTAGACCTGCTGGATTCAGAGGACGGTGTAAGATATCGGCCAAGTCGGGCGGCCTCCTGCAGTGTATGGTACCACTGTGATGACGAAGCTGTAATGCTAGTATATGCAGTCGGTAGACGTCACTGACCCTGCAGCGAACGCTCCAACAAGCAAGTAAAGATGTAAGTAGTCAAAGGAGGGGACGTAGGCACCGCCTATCAAATAAAGCAAACAAGCCGGTAGGGGTAAAAAACTACAAGAATGTAACTCGGTCTCTTCGTTTCCTCAAGATGCGAATCAACGGAGAGGGAGAAGCAGACGTTCAAGAAGCCGTTCAAGAAGGCATTCGAAAGGGCGGCAACCTAAGGTGTCTGGACGAAGGCCCCTCCTGGCGCAGGTCGAGTTTCACAACCAGAAACAATCCGACGTCCGAGCAGGATCCCGCAACGAAATGATCTCCATCCAGGAGCGTCCGAGTCCTTAGCAGGAGAAGGGTCAGCAAGCGATCCAAGGGCACCGAAGCGACGATTCAAGGTGCGCGGCAGACACCAAGATAGGATCAAAGGTAAGATTGCGGGAGATGGCACTTGCTGGATCCAGGAAGGTTGCAGTGTAAATGCGGAAGGCGCAGGAGGGTGCCTCGATTTGTCGCATGTGCGCGGGCCACGTCGTTGTTTCAGAATGGCCTTTTAGTGCAACGTTGTTGACGCACTGGTGCTTGCTAGGACGACCCGTCTCCGGCGCCAAACGCCTTTGATGCTAGGGCCGAGTAGCCAAAACCCCATGACAGTGACACCACTGGTCGCTTACACCAGTAGCGGCCTGGGACTTGGGCATGTTGACTGGTTCGTTTACTGCGAGTTTGAAATAGACAGTGTGTAGTCAGATGGTGTGAGGTGTATTAAAGGAAGTCTGTCATGCGCGTGCAAGTAAGACGATCTCGGGAGCTCGGGATCGGAGGTATAGTACTCGGGGTCCTGTGAGATGCAGCTGGTAAGACGGCACGGGGTCTGAATGTAAAGCATACTTTCCATCGAGAGGGTGTGGAAGCTACTCTCCATGGCTCCATATCGTATTGTAGGCAAGAAAGATGCGCGAAAGCTATGTAAAGGGGGTATCAGATCGAAAGTCCCTCGGCACAGGAAGATGAAGAAAGAAAAGTGGTAGTGTACAATCCTCCGGGGCGCATCGCAATGAGTAAACAAGCAGAAAGCCGCCCCTGCATAGCATGCGTACGTGTCCCGTACGCTGCATCCGATTTTCCAGTCCATTCCTGGGCCATGATTACTCCGTTGCCAATAAACGCCTGTCGCTAATGTGTTCCTCGCAGTTGAGGATGTTGCTGAATGAGAAGAAAAGTTGCAAGTACTGTGCCCCGCGCCGCTCGTGCCGACATCCCATCTCATCCTCATTACCGTACTTCGTTTCATCTCGATCGAGCTGATTCATCGGTTCGCCTGGGCAAAATCATGGTCCCTCGGTGACGGGCCTGAGACTGCTTCGCCTTGCAGTCTTCTCGACGCGGCCGGTTATCATCTCGTCGAGCATACGCGTCATCTCCTCGATGTTCTTGGTTGAGCCATTGGAAGCTGGTGGAGGCAGGAATGGCGCTTTCACGCTGAGCGCGGGCGATGTGGGACCCTTGGGCAGAAGACTGACTCCACTGCCGTCGCTGCCGCTGCGTTGGTAGCCCGAAGTACGCCGGCTGCCGGGCGACTCGCTGCCCATCTCGTGTGCGTTGTCGTTCTTCTTGCGAGCCGACGTGAGGGCGCCAATCATGCGCTCCTTGTCTTCCAGCTGCGCCCGCAAGTTGACTATCTCGTTGTCTCTCTCGGCAAGCGCCGCAATCATGCCGCCCTCCTCGCTGTTTGTGAGTTTGTGCGACAAGGACATGGAAACTCGAGAATGGCTGGAGCGCCGGGCATGCAAAAGGCGCTTCTCAAGGGTCGCGATGTAACGGTTCTTATCCGCAAGGTCAGCCTGCAGGGCTTGGATCTGCACGGTCTGACTCGCAATGCCGTCTCCGTTCTCCCCGACCGAGTCGTCTTCCTCGGAGCCGTCCATGTGGAGATGTGGCGTGCTCTGTCTTTTGCCTGGGACTTCGAGGGTGGCGTGGCTTGCCGAGGAGCGTATGGAGCTGGGGCGCATGTCGTGGTGATTGCTCATGACGGAACCGCGCTGGAAGCTCATTGACGAGAAGGACCGACCGTTGTTCACGCCGAGCGATTTGGAGCTCAAGATCAGCCTGTTGAGATGCTCAATCCGCTCCTTCAGGGCAGTCCGGGCGAGCTGCATTTCAAGCATCTGCTCCTCATGACGCTGCTTGTCTTCCAACTCGCGCGCCTTCTCTTCCTCTTTGTCCTTTTTCAGCTCGTCGTCTTCTTCTTCCTTGGGCTCCTTGTTCTTGCCTTCTGCCAGCTGCTTTTTCAGATCCTCAATCTCCAGGCGGTAGCGATCCAGAAGTGCTCGGCTGCCGGCATCCCCAGCAGCGCCCATGGACTCGTCGGCCTTCTTGGCGTGGCTGACGATGTTGTTCTTGGCTCGAGAAGCGAACTTGAGCGTGTTCAGCGTCTCGCCCGTGTGGCTGTTGACAGCAGCGGGACTCCCGCTGGCTCCGATCTGGATAGTGCAGAGGATGCTGACGAGCGAGTTTCCGGACAGGGCGGGCTGGAGAAGTCGGGTGAGCTTGCTGTCTCGGTACGGCAAGTGCTTGTCGCCCTTTCCTTTGTCCTTTTCCGACTTGTCCTTGTCCGAAGCCAAGCGGCCAATGACTGTGCCCAAGGTGAGCAGGCTCTTGTTGATGTGGGAGCCCTCTGTCCGCCGCTCCTTGTTGTCCGCCGCCTTTTCAGAGCCAGCCAGATCGATCAGACTGAGCGTCGAAACACGGACGCCGCCCGGGACAATGGCTGAGCGCTTGTCGCCGTTCATTGCAGGGCCAGGAGCGCGTTCCCTGCTCTCGACGACGATCTGGACGACAGCGTGACTCCGGGAACTGCGCGCGTTGAACTGCGTGCCCGCCACCTTTCGCGAATTGTCACCCCGGGCGATGACCCTCAGGAGCTGGGTCGGGCTCTGCACAATCTCTTCCTTGAGCGGCGACGCATAGACGCCACGCTTGCTGTCCTCGCGCAGCTTGATCTCTTCCACGGGCCCGGTCTGGCCGTTGATGCCCACGACGGGCCCCGCCAGCAGATCGATAATCTTCTCATTGTAGATCTCGATGTAGCTGACCCTCAGGAGGAACTCGCGCTGGGGCGTCTCCCGGATGTAGGAGAATATGTCGGTGATGGCCAGGGGTATGACGCCGGGGTTCGTCGCAGTTCCTTGCATGGAGAAGGTCTTGCCGGTTCCCGTCATGCCATAGGCAAAGACGGTGCCGTGATAGCCCTCCATGACCCTCCGGACGAGTCGCTTGGCTGCAGCATCGTACACGCGCGCGTTGTTGTCTTGAGTATCGAATACGTTGTCTAGGTCAGGCCAAATTAGCTCCGGTGCAGCGAGCCTCGCCGTGTGCAAGCATACCGTAAATGTAGTCTCCGCCCTCCTTGCCCTTGTAGGCGATCAGGGCCTGCTTGTTGTTGACTTGCCACTCGACGTCGTGTTTGGGTTCCTTGGCGCCGGCATCGGGGCGGACGCGGACGCTGACAATGACATTGCCTTTGCCGTCCTTGGGTGCCTTGGCGTCGGCGCGTCCGTCGTCCCCGTCTTCGAATGTGGTTGCGCTGGTGGCGTAGGAGCCCTGCGGCGAAGAGGTGCGGCTCTGGGGCGGCGAGGGGAGGCTGAGATGGGCCGTCTCGACGGTGACGGAGTCGGCGCTGCCGTTGAGCAGGCTCGGGGGCGACAGGGGCGACTTGGGGAGCAGGCCTCGCGCGCCGCCCATGTTGGAGCTCCGCGGCTTCTTCAGACTGTTGCTCCGGGCGGGCGCTGGGCCCTTGGATATCGACGACAGCCTCCGGTCGACCGTGTCTCCGCCGGGCGTGGAGCTGGTGGATAGCGGACTGGTGGGATTGGAGCGTCCGCCGTGCCTGGGCGGCTGGGGAAAGGAGCCGATGCTGACCGTCTTGCGCAGCGACTTGCCCACGGGCAGCGAGCCGGCCGCGCCAGCGTCGGGCGGGAACGAGGGCACCGAGGGAGACGTCAGATGCTTCGACGTCGGGCGGTAGGGCAGCGACGACGACGACACAGCGCGTGTGCTGGCGGCGCCGGGGAGCAGCGAGCTGCGCGTCGTCGGACCGACATGGGAGCTCCGTGACTTGGGGACGGGCAGCGAGGGCAAGGGACCGGTGGGCGGAGCGATCGAGGGCCGCGACGGGCGAGGCAGCGAGTTGGCGGACATGGTGATGGGTGGCGCGCCTGTACGAGTGCTACGGCGGGCGGCAGAGGTGCTGGCGCTGCAGTCGTGGGCCCTACAGGCTTTGTTTTTGCAGGTGGCCTATGCCGCTGTGCACATGTCCGGCGTGGCCCTCCAGCAACGCGACGGGGCCTCGCAAGGTAGGCGGGGACGAGTACGTCGCGGACAAGCAGGGCCCTGGGCGCGGGAAGCAAGCGCAAAGGCAATGCAGCGGAGACGGGTAGTCGCAGTCGAGGCGGGGGGAGGCGCGCTGGCAGGCCTGGGGACGTCGTGGGCGCGTCCAAGGGGGCAGCGAGGCGATGGGATGTGGCAGCACGCAGCGTCTCTCAGCGTCGCTCAGCGTGAGGTCGGCCGGCAGTGTGTTGGCGTGGTGGGGAAAAAGGAGCGGTGATGAGATGGATGGCAGGATCCCCTGGGACTCGGGGCAGGTGCAGGTGCTGGTGCAGGGGCCCGACGAAGGAACGACCGACCGATGAAAGCGCCGTGCCAGTGCAAGCAGAACGGGCGGGCGGCGTGGCTGTTCGCGCCAACGCACCAAAGACGCAGGGCCCTGTGTACCTGGGAAAAGGGGTTCACTAATGTCGGCACCCACAGCAGCTGCCATCTGCAGACCCTGGCCCGCCTGCCTCTACTCTCTGTGCGCATGCTGATCCGCCCGTCTACATACAGAACCATCCGCAGTCTCCGCCTCACTGCACCAAACCCCAATGTCGCCGCGTCCTCTCCAGCCAGAGACTAACGCGCTGGTGCTGCGGGAGCGCCACACTGCACGTGCTGCCGCGTTTGCCTTCCGAGCCACCACTACTCCTACCAACGACTGCCGGCCCAACAAACACCAATGACCCGCCGGCGTCGGGAAGCCTCGCTTGAATGGCCTCGTGATCAAGCGTGCTCCAGCATGGTGACCAACCAGAGACCAACCCACCGGTATTGCGGGGACCTTGTTATCCACTGCTCCCCTTCGGAGCATTGTCCATGCCGGCACTCGAGTCTACTTACTCGTGAAACAACACAACCGCCAGAGGTGCCACTCCAAGGCCACTGCATCGGGTGCTGCCGAGCATGTCACTGGCCATGGTGCCGTCTGCCAAGCGAGTGATACGCTCAAAGCGCACCCCATCCGAAGACACTCTGCCCGAATTTTGTAATGGCCAGATATTGCAATCCCCACAGGCCAAGATCGATAGTCAGCTCCAGTGCACCACAGAGCGCTACGCGTGAGAGCTGGGTGCCAATGTTCAGCCAGCCCACACCCTCACCGAGACCCAACCCACCCACAATGCGGTACGACCCTGCATGCCCTTCTTGCCTGGCTACAAAATGTGAGGCAATCGCTCGCAAAGTGGCCATCCTCAATGGGAGCATAACAAGGCCGACAAGCTGGGCTCTGACCATTGCACTGATCATCTGCGCCGGCTCACACGAGAGTTGCGTGACGCGGTGGTATCCATGACCGTCCATTGAGCGGGCTCGGTTCCTTGACCCGGCAGCTGCGTCGTCTTGCAACGGATCCGAGCCTTCTGCGACTTGCGTGTGGGTGGAAAGTATCCTAGGCGGGAGACGGACTTCCATCTCTACGATTCCTTCCCTCGACGTTATGCGTATCCGGGGACCGTTCTCGTTCTGCTCCGATTGTGTCGGCGACCCTGGCGGGGTGGTAGATCGCACCAGGTCCTCAAATGCATCGATCGGAACGGCGATGGCATCTGCATCGAGCGGCTCTGCGGAAGGGTGATCTTGCGAGTGCAGGACGGGGAGATTGAGTGGGGTAGCGCCGGTAACCTGAGTGCCACCAACTTGTAGCGTCTGGATCTCGCTCGAGGCGATTGCAGGTGCAAGCTCTATTGCCCGCTTTCTTTGTGCGCTCGGAGGGGACACCGGCCGGGCCCACCCAAGCATTGCGAGCAGGCTGTGAACGGCGTCCCGAATCAGGGGCGGTGACTCCCGTCGCAGCCCGAGAACAGCCAAGGCCCGGTCCTTTCCACTGGCGTCCCGGCTGGGAATGTCGGGCTCGTCAGGACGGATCATGGCCGTCTCGACAGCTTCGTAGACGCAGGCGTAGACCCAGCGCTCGATGGAGTGCTCAGCACACAGGAGGATGGCGGGCGAGGTCAAGATTGCACCGATGCAGTCCGCCATGGACTCAGACGCATTGCAGTGCAGAGAGAACGGCAGAGGCGACGAGTCTGAGAGGGGATTGAGGGACCGCCAGGCTGGCAGTAGTGGGCGGGCGGGCACTAGTCCAAGGCGTTGCAATGCAGCGTGGTAGAAGAAGGGATAGCACAGCATCTCGAGGCCCAGGCGTAGGCTAGACTTGAGGGCTCTCCTGGCGTGGCGGAAGAAGTTGCGTGTCCTTGCGGTTGCGCGTGTGGCATAGAGCAAGCGCTCGACAGGCTGATAGACAAAGGTGCTGTAGACAATGGCTTGGATGTGCATGGTCGCGAACACGCGCGCGGCAAAGCCGGCATAGACAATGGGGGCGCCAGAGAGGGCACGCTCAGCGGCCGCGATTTGGGCAAAGGTGAGGGCATGGGGATAGTGGAACGTCTGCGCCGGTTAGTGGATCCACGAGAGGGCGGCGGCAGGAACGTGCCAGAATCCTCTCCCTGAGAGTGCCTATCCACCAGGTGCACAGGTTCTCGGTGAGCGTGGTCGCCAGTGCAATGGCATTCCCAACGGTGTCCTCGGCTTCCAGCAGCTCGAGGCGGTCGTGGCTGGCGCGCGGGAAGGCTCCCGCCGGGGCGTGTCGCCGCTCGACGACGCCGACCGAGGCCAGCACATCGTTCTGGGCGCCTCGCAGCTTCTTGCCGTACTGGTGGGAGCGCGGGTTGATGGGGCTGCCGCGCTCGTCGTAGAGCTGGACGTAGCTGTTGGCGGTCGCCTCGTGGTAGCGCGGCGGGACGTCAGCCTGCGCCGACTCGAGCTGGACGTACGCGGGCGACTGCGATGCGGCCTGCGTGGGCGCAAAGGCCGAGCGCCCCTAGCACCGTGTTAGCCAGCATGTGCGCGCGGCGCTGGCGGGGTCCGTACAAAGGCCATCTTGTCCAGGTAGGCTTGGCGGCCCATGGTGGTGGTGGTGGTGGTGGTGGTGGTGGCACGGTGCGTGTGCGGGAGACGCGCCGCCAGACGTCAGCGCGCGGTAGGGCCGCCTTATCGATAAACTTTTTTCCTGCGCCCTCAGCTCGCCCAGCACACGCTTCCTGCCTCTGCCTCTACCACACGGCCCATCATGTCGGCGCAACGAGCTGCCGTCAAGACCACATACAGCGTCGCTCGCACCCTGCAGCCCATCTACGCGGGCGGCAGCCTGGCCCTCAGCGAAGACGGGCGCATCTTGGCCGCCAGCTTGGGCGAGGATGTCCTTCTGTCCGACCTTACCAACGGCCAGGAGCTGGCAAGGGTCGAGGGCGACGGCGAGGCCATCACGGCCCTGGTGCTGACGCCAGCTGCATCCCACCTCGTCGTGTGCTCGCGGTCGCTGTCGATGCGCTTCTTCGCCCTCCACCCCCCGGCCACGGACGACGACACCATCGAGCTCGAGCTTCTGCGCACACTGCGGCCCCACACATCGCCCGTAGTCACCCTGGCCACAGACCGCAGCGGCACGCTGGTTGCAACCGGAGGCGCAGACGGCGTCGTCAAGATCTGGGACATTGTCGGCGGCTACACGACGCACGCTTTCCACGGCCACGGCGGCGTCGTCTCGGCCCTGCACTTCTTCGAGGTAGAGGTGGCGGAGCGCCCAGACGCCCCCGAAAACAACAGGAAGAGGAAGAGGAAGTCGCGCCCAGACGCTGCCGAGCTGGAGCACGCCCAGGGCGAGAGCCAGATGCAGTTCCGCCTGGCCTCTGGTGCCGAAGACGGCCGGATACGCATCTGGGACCTGCACAAGCGCAAGAGCGCCGCCGTGCTCGACTCGCACGTCTCCGTCGTGCGCTCGCTACAGTACTCGCCGCACCAAAAGGCCCTCGTGTCTGCCAGCCGAGACAAGACGCTGATTGTCTGGGACTCGCACACGTGGAAGGCGCAGCGCACCATTGCTGCTCTCGAAGGCATCGAGAGCGCGGGCTTTCTCCCCGACGGCAACACGCTGTATTCGGGTGGAGAGAACGGCCGACTGCGCCTCTGGTCCGCGTCCAGCGGCAGAGAGCTCACCCGAGAGCAAGCGCCTGGAACCGAGACGGACGAGATTGTCAACATTCTCTACTATCCTTCGTTACCCTACTTGGTCTCGGTCCATGCCGACCAAGTGCTCAACTTCTACACACTCAGACCAGCCGAGTCGCTCGGCGTGCAGGACACCATCGACCCGCTCCCCATATTCCGCCGCGTCTCGGGAACGCACGACGAGGTCATCGACATTGCCTACGTTGGCAGAGACAAGTCGCTACTGGCGCTCAACACCAACTCGGAAGACATCCGCATCATCACGTTGAACGAGTCTGATGGAGACGACGCAACCCAGGGCAGATACTTCGGTGCGGATGTCGGCTTGCTCAAAGGACATGAGGACATCGTCATCTGTCTGGACGTAGACTGGTCAGGCCACTGGCTTGCTACAGGTGCCAAAGACAATACGGCGCGGTTATGGCGAATCGATCCCGCAAACGAATCCTACACTTGCGCCGCAGTCCTCACTGGCCACGCCGAGTCGCTCGGCGCGATTGCATTGCCGCATACAATACCTCAGGAATCGTCAGCCGCCTTTACCGACCCCCTCTCGCATCCTCCCGCATACGTCGTGACCGGATCGCAAGACAGGACCGTCAAGCGGTGGGATACTACCAAAGAGATGAAGGGCAAACTGCGAGCCAAGTACACCCGCAAAGCACACGACAGAGACATCAACGCCATCGACATCGACCCCTCTGGCAGTCTCTTCGCATCCGCATCGCAGGATCGCACCGTCAAGATTTATTCCGCCGCAGAGGGAGAGGCCATCGGTGTCCTTCGGGGCCACAAACGCGGCGTATGGTCGGTCAAGTTCGCACCCAAGGCGTCGCAGGCGCCAAACTCGGGAAACAAGGGCCTGATCGCAACAGGCAGCGGCGACAAAACCGTCAAGATATGGAGCCTAGCAGACTACAGCTGTTTGCTCACCCTGGAAGGCCACTCCAACAGTGTTTTGAAGCTGTCGTGGTTGCCCTACCGACCCGTCGACACACGAGACAAGCGCGGTCCGCAAGTAGCCTCTGCAGCTGGTGATGGGCTTGTCAAGATTTGGGACTCACTCTCGGGCGAGGCCATGACCACACTCGATAACCACACCGACCGTGTCTGGGCGCTCGCCGCACATCCAACAACAGGCGCCTTGGTTTCTGGTGGTGGAGACAGTGTCATCACGTTCTGGGAGGATACAACAAGCTCCACGCTGGAAGCTGCGACGACTGCAGAGACAGAACGCGTCGAACTCGATCAGAAACTACAAAACTACACGTATGCCGGCAACTACCGCGAAGCCATCGTACTCGCCCTCCAAATGGACCAGCCAGCCCGCCTCTTCTCCCTCTTCAAGTCGGTAGTAGAGACTGAGCACCCAGATGCAGACAGCCTTTCAGGTCTCCATACCGTTGACGAAGTACTCGCCTCTTTGGCAGACGAGCAGCTGTACAAACTGCTCATCCGCCTCCGTGACTGGAACACCAACGTCCGCACCGCGCCGATCGCTCAAAAAATCCTATGGACTGTGGTCAAGTCCTACCCTGCTTCTCGGCTAGCCAGTTTGAGGCCGCAGGGGAAAGTAGGGGCGAAGGGCAGTTTGAAGGACGTGCTGGATGCTATCAAGGTGTACTCTGAGAGACACTACAAGCGGGTAGAGGAGTTGGTAGACGAGAGCTACTTGCTGGACTTTACTCTAAAGGAAATGGATGAAGTAGCTGGGGAGGTAAAGGCCATTACGAATGGCACATCGCAGCTGGGCCTAGAGAGGGACATTGTAATGGTTGATTGAAGGCACTCCGAGGAGATCCTGTTCAGTGATGAGTTCAAGGCGAGTAGCTGTGTTATAGGCGCAGGGTAGATACCAAAGTTTGTCATTATCGAACTACGTGTGCGGCTGTTGCACTTGCTTTGCGTGACACCGAAGATGATGGTCGCCAGCGCATCCTCCAGCCCTCAGTCGCAGGGAATATTCGGCGTAAAGCAACAGCTCCTTGGATCCTGCATATTCTTTGACAGTGACCAGCATCTCTCGGAGCTGCCAAATCGGTGTACGTAGATACGCGCCTGCGAATAGATGGATCGCCGTCTGTGCCTCGGTTATTCTGACCGGCTATGAGATCACCGGTCCCGACTCCTCACCCAGAACCTACATACATAGGGCATGGTGCCAGGAACAAAGTCGCACCCCCTGTCTTATCCCCACAACAGCTCCCACAGACTCGCTCTCTAAAGAAAGCCGGTCATGTCTCAGCCGAAGATTACATTCTACGTGGACATTGTGAGCCCGTTTGCCTACATTGCTTTCCACGTCCTCAAGGTGAGTTTGTCTGGGTGGTGGTATAGGTTGAAGCACGTTTGAGACGTAGAGGTGTAATGCGGTGCTAATCGAAGCGTTTGTGCAGAATTCAAAGGCCTTCAAACAGGTCGAGGTGCAATATGTGCCGATCCTGCTTGGGGGTTTGATGAAGGTCTGTGGGAACACACCGCCGCTGAACATTAAGAGTATGTCAAGTTTTGTTCTCAGACTTGCCACTGTCTACCCTGACCTCTAACATCATACAGACAAAGACAAGTGGATCAATACGGAGCGCCAGCGCTTGTCGAAACAGTTCAACGTGCCCATCCTGCAAGATGCTCTGCCTGGCTTCCCTGTCAGCACATTGCCCATCCAGCGCGCCCTGGTATCTCTCTCGCTCTCTCACCCACAAAAGCTTGAACGCGCAATAGAGCTCTGCTACGAAAATTTCTGGGCGCACTGGAACGACCCGACTAAGCCGGAGAATCTGCAGGCTATCCTTGGGACTGTTTTGGGCAGTGACGAAGAGGCGCAAAAGGTGATCGCGAGGACGAAGACCGAAGAGGTGAAGCAGGCTCTGGGCGGAAACACTACCAAGGCGTTTGAAGACGGCGCCTTTGGGCTGCCATGGTTTGTCGGTAAGCGCAGAATTGGTGCTCTGTCGGATAATCAGAAAGTGATTGTTGACCATGTGCGACAGCTACCAACGCGAGAGGAGAGACCGAGGGGTACTGGGGCGTCGATCACATGGGTCAGCTATGTGACCATTTGGGTCTGGAGAGGCCGTCTAGCAAGGAATGGCGCTCATTGCTGTAAGAAAAGCTTTACCATCGGCCGACACGACCATGCATACAGTCCCGGATTATGTATTCCACGACGAATTCCAGCCGACCACAGCGACTGTCTCCCATTGACCATGCTAGCTGTAACGAGATGCTCGTGACAATTTCAGAGCTGACAGGGGCTATGGTATTGGGGATTCGCGCTCCTTTCACTTTAAACTGCTGTCTCTAGGCCACCACCTGGTAACATCAGGGTTGACACAGCAACGAAATCTCAGTGGGCCATAATTACGCCTTCCCGGCTTGGCCCTGCGCAATATGCAAGTGTGAGTCCTCTGCTCGAGCGCGAGTTGTCGTTGAAGTTTCGTCCTCTACTCGTCATTCATCCTATGTCAGAAAGCACAGGTCTCCATGTGATTTTTCCTCTGGTGCACTTGCAAGTCTGCCCCACAAGCTTAATCTGCCGCCATCAGTCCTCCTCCCCGTCTTTACTGTCGCCGGTATTCAGTTCCTCGGCTGCAGATCCAGTCTACTGAAGAAATGGATTACTACCGACAAAATGAACTCCCCGAGACGGTCAAGCGTTACAAGACCTACACCGACCAATTCCAAGCGTGGTTGCTCCAGACAGCCTTCCAACGTGGCGTGGAGATTGCAAATGTGGTTGCAGACCAGGCTAAGAAGAAAAAGAACAAGAAGGGCTACAGAATACCGCTACAGAAACAGGAGCAGCTCGTCAACGCCATAGCCGCTACGAGCATTCCGCTCGCGGACACCAGTGGTATCGACGACCTGGGAGACGCTATCCGGTCAAGGAAGGAGGTAACGCAATATCACAAACAAAATAACACGGCGGACCTGGGTCATGAATACTTCAATGGCAGCTTAGAAGCGCTCATGGCGGTGCTGAAGGATCTTGTCCCCGGTATCAATAAGGCTCGAAACGGCAAGACTGACACGTCTACCCTTGTCTTCATCCAGTTTCCCGCCGAGTCCAACAAAAGCCAAGACGAACAGGACGATTTACTTGAGAAGATGCGGAAGCGGGACCAGGTTGACATGGATGACGGCAGCCAGCAGCAGCAGCCTCTGACTTCCAAGACGAAGACGAAGGCGCCGATACCAGAGGAGAACCTGCTGACTGCAGAGGAAGAACAGTTGCGCCGTGACTTTCTTGTACTCTGCTTCCTTTACAAGTTCAACCGCATACGGGCTGTCGTCTACGAGGTGTGGGTCACTTACCATGAGGGCCATGTCAATGCGATGACCGCAGCGCTAGTGACCGACCTAGCCCAGGGTAAGTGTCTCTGTACAAATTGCATGTGAAGTAGATACTGACTTCGTCCACCTGCATTTAGATCATTTGCACCAGAACGTCAAGGCACTGATGGAGGAGCTCGATTTGTTACCAGGAGACCTGGCCATACTCATCCGTCAGCTTTTCGATACGATCAAAGCAGCTCCCAACACTGGAGTACAGAACGCAGCAACACCGCTCACTGAAAAGGCACTGCATCACCTGTTTTGTCTGGATGATGCTGCCGTCTTGATCAAGAGCTACGTCACGAATAAGCGCCCGATGAAGGACAGTATTGGCAACGACATCCAGGAGCACCCTCTCATGATATTCTTGAGGTTCTTCGACGTTATTCGCAAGGGCAACCTCAAGCTTCCAAAGTGGGATCACTTTACCGCAGAGATGCTGTTGCATCAGAGTACATCACAAGACTACCTACCCTTCGGCCTTGCCATTGTTCTCGACATCCAAGAGGCAGTGCGCGACGACTGTCGTCGGATGCTACGCGACCTCACCGAGCACGGCTTAGACATCGCCAGATGTATCCGTTGTCATGTCGACTACGAAGACCGCATGTGGGCCAAGGGAACAAAGCCTGACTACATGTGCAAAGAAGAGATCAAGTTCAGTACCCTCCTGTTGAAGCCTCTAGACAGGCTGTTGGACTGGCTGCAAGATGTTCTGAATTCGCGAGAAGTGCCGATGGCTGCTAGCGTCTTCATCACCGTTCATTCGACGCTCGCGGGACTTTCAATGTGGCACTACAACCAGATCTACCACCATACTACCATTACCAAGATACAGTGGTTCATCAATGGCCTCGCTCACCTCTACAACGCCGCCTGCCAAATCGGCGGTCTGAACATCCAGTGGCCAGACCTCGACTATCTGATCAAGATGCATGGGTAAGATTTTCAGCGTATGAACTACATGTGAGACACGCACTGATTCTGTGCTCAACGCTTAGGTCAAGAGCTTTGTTTCACGGCGATCCACCAACCCACCCTAACGACTTTCTCAATCGCTATCTCCTTTCGGGTAGCACCAGTAGCCGCGCTATGGCCACGGACTTCCGCCACACTTCCAGGTACCTCCCTCGGGTGCCGAAACAAGTTGGAGTGAAACGCGGTTTACGGAGTGATTTGCCATTGGAGGCTAAGATTTCCGATTACTATGGCCCGAACCCGGACAATAACCGTTGGCTGAGGCGTCATGCAGTCTTCAACCATCTCTACCGACGGAAAGAGGCTGTTGGAGGCGCATCAGACGATGACTGCAAACAGGCTAGACGGATCTCAGAGGACTTGCGAGGCACGTTTGCCGATCTAGCAACCAAGATCACGCCCTCGAAGCCAAGGCGAAAAGGCAAGGACAAGGCCAGGGTACGCAAACCCGATTTCGACAAGCAGGACGAGACACACGCCAACCTGCTAGGTACCATGAGGTCAGAACTGCAGGAGAACGAAATACACAGTAACTTTGACTTCCTCTCCTTCTATCGTCGCGCCTTCGGCCTCGTTCTACGCCTTCGCGAGGAAGTTCTCATGAGCGACGATGTACGGCGCTCCCGGGCTGAAGACATCAATGCAAATCCCGAGCCCCACAATTTCCAACTGATAACAGATCTCTTCCGCGATCTTCGAATTGAGCCCAAGACTAAGAAAGAAGAAGAGGCCGAAGCGAAGGAGGGTGCTGGACAGCAGCTCTCAGCCAAAGTCGTACCGTTGAAGCAGATTCGACGTGTCGCTGAGATGATGCATGACTTGACCCTTGCCAAGGGTGATGTGGAGTTGAGGCGCGCCAAGTTACGGGTCAAGGGGGATTGGGAGGGTCTCAAGGCTTCGTATGCTGCTGAAGAAGCTGAGAAAGAGGCTTCTGGTGTCGAAGAGAGCGTTCCACAGGCAGAATCCGAAGACGAAGTGGTGACTGAGGTTTCCGATGCTTTAGATGGCCTTGCGCCTCCGCTGAGCATCGTCAACGGCACCAAGCGCACGTTCGAGGCAGATCGAGACTCAGAAGATGGTGGGACGTATACGCTGGGGTCTCAGATCTTGGGACAAAAGCATACACAGTGCGACACGAAAAACTGGTCAGACGAGCCTGATAGTCTAGAAGTCCTTGATGTCGCTATCGATACCCAGGATATGGAGGCCCTGTCACGCTTCGAGGACAAGAGAAATGACATCAGGCGCAAATGCGAAGCGGGCGTTGACTCCGCGAACCGCCCAGTTCACTTGCTCAACTCAGGCGGTTGGAACGGCGCATGTGTAGAAGTCGCTACGGACGAACACATCCCCACTTCCATTGCGCCCGAAGCAGACCAGCGCCATTCCTTGGGCGCGCAAATCAGTCAGGTCATGGGCACTGCTGCCGCAATCTCACTCGCAGCACCCATCAACGATGACAACAAACACAGCGGCACAAGATCTATAGGGTGCGTTTCATTAGCTACGGCGACCAGGAACAAGCCAAAAGGGATATACCACCGCATCACATATTCCAGCACTACGTCTCGCAAATCCCGTATCACGGCCATCTTTCCTTCGTCATCTTCTAGGAACACCAAGCTTCTAGCGCTAACCCAGCCGCGAAAGGCCTCATTCCAACGTCTCTCTGGTACCACTAGGAAGCATCGCATCGCCTTTCACTGCTACACGCGATGCGCTATGGCTCGTGCCCTACATGGCCAGCAGACTCGTCTGCAGCGACGAATGGCGATTGCCGTTGCGGAGCTGAAGAAGAAGGCCAGGAGGGATTCGGCCGGTAAGTTTTGACGGTATGAAGTGCATTTGAGATATATACTGACTTCGTATCTCCACCTCTGCAGAGTTGGAAAGAGTCTGGTCGAGCGTTAGGGATATGGAAATTGGCAGGGTTTGGGAGACGGAGAGTGATGTGAGTTTGGACTGAGGGGGAAGGAGAGTGCTTGGTGAAGAGGGATCCACGAACAACGAGTTGCGGTCGCGTAGATTCGTACTTTTGAGTAAGCATAGCATAGCAGTGCGATGTGATGCCAGCTAGGACGTCCAGACAATGGCACAAATTCTCTTCACAAACGGTCTATAAACACATTTCTAACGGCCGTTACGCTTTTAGTAACCCCCCATCAGCCCGGTTTCTTTTACAGTCTGACCCACATCACGCCATACTCATCCCTCGAACATCTTCGTAGTACTAACGTTAATCCGACTCCACGCCTTCCCTGTCCTCAAAGCCTCTAGAAACTTCGCAGGCCAATAGATATGATACAAAACGAAAAAGGGCAGAGGGTCTTCGAACAAATACGTCCCATCCTTCCAACCGACAACATGACTCCAAAATGTCGCCAAGTCATTGAAAGCAGCCTGGAAGGTCGCGACGCCGAAAAGTAAATCAAGAAGCGGCAGGACAACAAAAGACACCAAGTCATGGCCGATCCAGTAATAGCTGTATGTCGGGGAGCGAGGGAAAACAGGACCAATTTTGTGTTTCGATGACAAGGGGTTAGGGCTGTTGAAAATGGAGAGGTAAGCTTCTGCCATTTCGGGAGTTTGCTCAAAGAGCACGACGGCCGTGTGGGCGCGCGGGTTGGATTCAATAGGGTAGAACTTGGCGGCTGCGCCTTTGTCGTCGTTCTCGACTAGGAAGTCGAAGCTTAGGTGGCCGGTGAAGCTTTCGCCGCCGTCCTTGCACACGCGCTCGGTAAAGCCAAGCATCTTCTTGCTGAGGGGCGACGAGGCAGGCAGCGGCTCGTAGTGCATGAGGAGTTCTAGGCTGGGACAGCTGGTGAAGGCTTTTACTTTTCCACGGATGACGAGGGCGTGCGTACAGTATTCGCTTCCTTTGATGAATTGCTGGAGCTGGAACGGGTTCTCTTTGGTGATGTTGAGCGAGTGGATGTATTGGGCTGTGGCGTCTGGGCTATTGAATGGCAGCAGCGTCATCATGTTGTTCCTGGCCTTGTCGTCCACACCGATGGGTTTCATGATGAACTGTCGTCTTGGTACCGTTCTTCCTGATTTCGTTGGCGTTCTGTGCAGCTCACCCATGAGCACATCGAGCGCTTCATGTGGGTTGGTGCAGCGGTGCGATTCCGGGATTGGGAGACCAAGCGACTCGATGTAGTCGATGAACTTGTCCTTTTCATGGAACTTTTCGACAACGTCTTCCCGGAACTGGATGGCTTCGAAATGGCGGCCTTGTTCTCTTGCTTGCTTCTCTGCTAGGCGGACGACTTGGCCATCTTCTACGGCTGCGACAACGCTGGAGCAACTGATCCATAGGTCCACTTTCTCGCGTTGGATGATCGAGAGAATGGAGTCAATGTATGGCTCTGCATCGTCGCCACTCGGTGTGTCCAGACAGTAGTACTTCGCAATAGCGCTGGAGAAGCGACCTGGCGATAAAGAAGAGATGTCGGCGCCAACGATGCGATGCGGTGTATGCTGCGACAGGTTGCGCGCAATCGTCAGCCCTTTGGTCATGGACACCCCAGTGACGAGGATAGTTTTCCGTCTTCGTGCCGCCGCCACATGCTGCTTATCCTCGGTCGAAAAGGTTGCGTTGTGCTGCCCATGGAGTCGCGACACTGCAAGACCAAGCAAGACCAGCGCTGCCGACACAGGCGCGCAAACAGCGCTCAGAGCCAGTAGAAGCACATTCTTCCACACATGGCTATAGTAAAACGGCACCACGGCATCCTTCTTTCCCTCTGCCATGTCTTCGCCGTTGCTGTTGATGGAAGAGAAGTGCTCGTGACCTCGGCACTTGTTCTCGCACAGTCTTCACCGTTCAGACGTTTCCCAACACACCACCAACGGCGTTACCTTATCAAAAAAAGGACCGAGAGAGGTCTCAACTATGCCCTTGCAAAAGCCTGCAAGCTGCGCTGCACTGCAATGCGGGCTGCAAGTAAGTAGGAATTAGCGGTGCAGACGGACGGCTCGTAGTCACGCAATGCGTTCATGCATAGGCGAGGTGATTGATGTGCGTGCGGCTACGTTCGCCCAGACAAAGCTGTTGGCCTGAGAAGGCTGGCTTTGCTCGCTAGTCTAGACGTCATCGTTACTTCACTCATGTACGACATTGTGGAACCCTAGACTCCATCCTGTCTGCGATCTGGTCGTAGTAGATCCTGTTTGCGATCTGGCCGCGATCGGCGGATGGGGGTTGAGGGGTTTGGGCGGCGGATGCAGGGCTCATGGTTATTTCCTCGACCGCGACGTGTCATGCCGTGGTCACAACATCACCACAGTCTGTCAATGTCGGCCTCGCAGAGATGCTTCGCAGAATTCATGAAACTATAGATTCATCTGTTTATGCCGTTTGTTTTTGCAAGCATTGAGGCATTGCTGGCACCTGTAGCTGGTAGCAGCCGGGTACCGTCGCCGCGCCGAGGCGCTCAGGACCCACCAGTACTGAAACTCGCGATTCATAAGATTACAACGCGTCATGTACCAAGTTATGATGCCTTCTTCTAGCCAACGCATCGTGTGATTTCGATGCCGTCCTGTGCTCGTCAGTAAATGCGCGTGAGAGACGGCCGGCGCTCCAACTCACAGGTACGCCCGTTGGCTCGTAGCTGTTTACCAGCTTGCTCTCGTACTTGAGATTCGGGTTGCCTTTGCTCTCGCTGAACTTGGCCTTGCCGTATCTCTTCTCGTACATCTTGACGTTGGTCTCAGCAATGCCGCTGAGGTTTGTCTGACCGCCCTCTCCAGCCTCCTTGACCTTCTCCTCAACGCTCGACCTGACATACTTCAAGTACGGCGGATTTCCGGGCTTGATGACATTGTCTGCTGCCAGCACGGAGCCTTTTGTGACCAGGCCAAGCTCCTCGCAGAGCTTCAGGTCTGTTGTGTAGGCAGGCTTGTAGTGGTCCAGGAACATGAGATCGACTTGCTTCAGTTGGCCCGATGCTGCCAGCCGCG